GAGACAGCATCAGGTGAAGCGCCTGAGCGGCCCTCTCTGCACTTCCTCTCTGCCCTTTTGAACTTGAGTTGTTCACTCCCGTGTGATTGTTTGCTCTGTATCATTGGCAACAGCAGACAAAGCAAAATGCATCCTAAATAAGTCAGGTCCAGAAGGACAGGGATTTTGTATCTTAGGGACATTATTTCTTCGTTCTCTCTCAGCAGCTGAGTGGATTTCCTTTCCATTGTCTTTTTGTTGGAAGCTCTCCACTGCCGGTATCCTAGCTATCAGCCACAGAGGAAGGCAACTTGCAGCTTTTTTTCTGAATTATCTTCCCATCTCCCTGTAAGGGTACACTATAGGTGGGTTTGCAGGCCTGTGGTTTTATTTCAGTCCTGGGGTCATCAGGCTTGTAAGACAGACTCTTTACACACTTAACCATCTCCCCAGCCCCCTAGACTTCTTAATTCCTTGTGAATAAAAATGTTTTTAATTCATAGAGCAGAAATGAGCTGTGTTCCGTCAGGGATAGACAGAGGATGTGTGTCCACATGGCAGCAGGAAGGTGTTAAACTGAATTTGAGATGTTCTTGACAGCCGGGGATGTGGTCTGGAGAACACATTGCCAGTGTGGCCTGTGGAGCCCCTTTCTGAAGGGAAGGGTGTATGCATGGTGTTAGAATGTTTCCACATACTTCCTCTGGCCAGTGCTAGTAGTCACATGGGGTCCACTCACGATCCAAGACAGTATCACATTTTATTTCATCCTCTGTAGATTGACACAGAAGACCTATGCCAATGGGAGGGGCACAGGATAGATGGCTGGGAGCTGGCTGGTTTCCTGGGAGAAAGCATCTTATTTCAAAGAATGTCAGTACCCTCCCCAGGATGTGTCCTACTTCTTCTTACATCTTGCACTGGCCTCCCAGGTTTATGGTGGTCTTCGGTCTGTATGGAAGGCAGTGTGTGGAGTGGCATCAGTAGCTTGACTGAGCTCTTGCTATATCCCTGTTCCCATGTAAAGTGCTCTACAGGGCTTAGTCTTACAACCTCATGCAGTAATACCATTATTATACCCACTGTACAGATGGAAAGACTAAGACTTTCAAAGATTTAGAGCCTCCAGCCAGCATTCCACCCCTGGTGACAAGGAGCCAGCAAGTTTACTCGGTTCCATATGGATCTAGAGCCTACTTCCATCACTCTGTGGCACTGGTCCTGGGAACATGACCTCATGTCTCTGAGCTTCATAGGGAAAACGAGTTTGATGTGGATGGGGCAGATCTCTAATTCCAGCACTAGAGAGCATCAGGCAAGAAGATCATGAGTTCAGGGTCAGCCTGAGCTACTTAGCAGGACCCTAGAAAGAGGGTGGAGGTGGAGAAAGAGAGAGAGGAGGAAGAGGGAGGGGGAGGGGGAGAAAGGGAGGGAGGGAGAGAGAGAGAGAGAGAGGAGGGAAGAAAGAATGGAAGAAAGGAAGAAAGGAGGAAGGAAGGAAGGAAGGAAGGAAGGAAGGAAGGAAGGAAGAGAGATAAAGGTGATATTACTGGTTGCACAGTGATGTTCATGAAGCATAACTAAAGGTAAAGCAGTGATGTCTGTCATCTAGTATCTGCTCAATTTGATCATCCTCGTCCTCTGATTTTTTGGTTCCCTTCCTTGTGCAGTTCCCGGTCTGAGTCTTTCCTTCATGGTGTTCCTGGTTCTAATCAGGCCTCTGTCCTGACAGGCAGGGATGTTTTGCAGCTCAGCATCCCTCCGACTGATGTCCCTGCTAATTCCTTACATTTACATATCATCTTTCTTCCCTGGAGTTCATAGCACTTAACAGACAAGTGGGGCACAAATGATTTAACTAAGTGAAATCCAGAGGCCTGCTTGTCTGGAGACTCTGCAAACCCGTGGATTAGCTCAGATGTCAGCACTGAATTATGATCCTTCAGCTGCTCGTGCTTAGCACGCCACTAGCATTAACTCGATTCCTGCCGCGGTCCTGTAAATCATGCGTTGTGATTATCAGCCTATTGTGAAAGAAGGGAGGACAGAAGACAGGAGAAAGGCGCAGGCTCTGGAGACTCTGGACCAGCTGACTGGGGGACCTTTGGTCTGGTTGAATTCTAATGACACGGTGGAGATAAGATAGACCCAGATGAAAATCCTTGCAGCCCGCCATCTCACACCCCAGACACATTTGGCTTTCCCCGGTTGTAGCCATTCTGCTATGATTCCTTTGCTTAAGAATGCAAATTCACACAAGTGACAGAATTTCCGCCAAGTAATTCTCAGGCAGCAAGTGGGTCTTATTTGTGAAGCTGTGAAGGAAAAAAGCTGAATAAGATGCCTCTCAAATCCGCTTTCCTTTATAGATGGGGTGGAAAGGGAAAGGCCACAGATGTTACAGGAGCACGGAGGGTCAGGGGGACCCTCACTGGTGTCTCAGTCTACTGGGATCCTCCACAGGTAACCCCAGTACCAGGTTACCTCATCTTTAAAAGGGGCCTGCTGCCTCAGGAAAACAGAGTCGGTGGCAAAGGGATTGTGTGAACTGAAGGCTTGGCAGAGTCTAGCAGATTCTCACTCCTCATTACATACCATTCTTTCTCATCGGTGTGTTTACCATTCATTCATTTTTCATTCATTGAATAAGATTTCTCAGGGTGGTGTGATATGCACGGACTAAGGAGAGGAGAACAATACGATATTCAACCTTCTGTGTGCAAGACAATCCGAGATAGGGGGTTAGAAGACGGCTCACGAGGTAGAGGTGCTTGCCGCCAAACCCGATCGGGAACTCACATGGTGGAAAGAAAAAAAACCCAAATCCTACAAATAGTCCTCTGGTCCCCTCATGTGTACTGTGGCACATTCGTGTGCACAAGCACGTGCACACATGTGAGCATGCACACACACATATTAAATAAATAGATAAATAAATAAATATTATTATATTTTTTTTTAAATCTGAGATATAGGAACAACACATGACCCACTTAGGAGTGACAGGTGGTGGGTAGTCACTATGGAAAAGTCTAACCTACTTTTAAAAGTAAGATCAGGTGTATTGAACAAATACTAGAATAGTTAGGAAAGAGAGGGTGACTATTGCATGTGCCAGAATGGTTAGGAGAGAAGTTAGCAGAAGAGCCAGGCTAGGTGGAGGAAAAGAAGAACAAGGAGCTTCAGGTACCGTGAGGCTGTGAGGCAGTAAGCCAAGGGGGAAGGGGGCTTGCCTCAGACAGGGAGGGATTGCAAGGATTTGGGGCAAGGCACTTTTGGGCAGCTGAAGAGTCTACTGTAGGAAAGTTTGGGATCCCTCAGTTAAGTTTGGGGTCTACCTACCTCTGAACCAGCATTTCCTCCTTGGACAAGAAGCTTTAACCTCTCTTGGTTTCTCCATCGTGCGCAAAGTAAAATTTAGAAGTCTTAGCTCACAGGCATACCGAAAGGATGAAGTGATATATCGCATACCAGTGTGCTTTGTAACCTGAAAGGCATTATGCGAATCTGAGTTGTAATTATTATCATTAATAGTGATAGCAGGAAGGTCTGATGAGGAAACAGAGGGCTAGAAGATCATGAGTGTCTAGTGATGCTATCAGCATCCCCTCCTCACTAGACCCCATCATTAAAGCTCCGCTCTTGAGGCAGCCTTCTTTTCCTTATCTCGGCCTTGAACAGGCCTGCCGGTGGAAGCTGTGTCATAGCTGTCACCTAACAAGATAATGCCAACAGGTATGACAGCAGTGAATCAGAGATCCCCATCCCCAAGAGGGTGCTGACCCAGGCTTCTGGAACACTAGCCTGTCTTTCTCCAACAAACCCAAGGTATTCACCATTCCTACCGACTGAAAAACCTCTGTGCTTGTGGCTCAGACTAACATAGCTTCAAATTAACAAGACCCTGAAGTGTCTGGCCTGCTCACATTCTAAGTTGGTTATACAGTGAAAATATATCCCTAACCCACTTGCAGAGGAGTCTAGCAGACCATGACCCATGCTTCGGGGCCCAAGATCGTGGGAACTCCTCCTCCTTCTCTGAGCATTTGCTCTTTGCACACAGGCTGGAGTTCCCCATTGCCATACCTGTGCCTGTGAGGCATAGGTGCTGACAACCATAACAAGATCTCAGCCTTCTGCCTAAGTATCCGATGGATTTAAACCCAGTCTGCCAAGAAGGCCATTCTTAAAGCGTTTGGACAGTGAGCCCTTAATTTCCCAGAACACGTATATTCACTGCTAAAGACATGGCCTTTGCTAATGATAATGCCATACCTTTGTAACCACTGGCACTGGATGTACATGGCTGCTTGAGATGGCCAAGTCCTGAAACAAAGCGGGATGGCCGGCCACTCCCATCCCTGACCCGCTTAGAGTTAACGGAAGTGTCTGCGTGATAGTTACTGAGGCTTAGGCATCAACTAGCAACCCTGGCAGAGACAGAAGGTTTTTAATCTCTTCCAGACATTGCTCAGCCAGACAATACCTGGCCAGAGTCATACTCCAATCCGGCAGCCACCTCACCCTATAAACTGTTCCCCTGTAATTCAGTTCAGTAGACTGCATTGGCCCTTTGGGAAAGCCAGAGATGAGTAAGACATGGGTCAGGCCTCTTCACTCTAGGGAGAAAAGACAAGTCTGCACAGCCAGGATTTGAAATTGACCACCCCAGGGACTGTATAAAGGCATGACACAAGAGAGATGAAGTGAGGCCAGTGTGACTTAAGGATTGAAGAAAGGGCTTCAAGAAAACAGAGCATTTGACTCAAGAGTCTGAAAGGTCCTAAGAAAAGTGTACAGCAGGACCAGCATAGTGGCACACACCTGTGGTCTTAGCACTCAGAAGACAGAAGCGGAAAGGTTGTAAGTTCAAGGCCAGCCTGATCTATATAGCAAGACCCAACATGTTTCAAAACACTGAAAACACCCCAACTCCTGTCCATCTTTGATGGAGAGGCCACAGTTACAAAGTGGTATATCTCGTAAGCATTTACTACCTGTGTTTGGATTGTCTCCCACAGATGACAAGAACTTCTTGAAATTACAAAGTGACGGCCGACGAGAGGGCCAGTACGGACGGCTCATCAGCCCACCAGTGCACCTCCCCCGAAGCCCTGTGTGCATGGAGTTCCAGTACCAAGCCATGGGCGGCCATGGGGTGGCACTGCAGGTGGTTCGGGAAGCCAGCCAGGAAAGCAAACTCCTTTGGGTCATCCGTGAGGACCAGGGCAGCGAGTGGAAGCATGGACGTATTATCCTGCCCAGCTATGACATGGAGTATCAGGTGAGTCAGGGAAGAAAAGGGGGTGTGCAAGAGACAAGGGAATCACCGTGATCCCCATTCCAATATTTCAAAGAGCCTTGCCCATTCATCATTAAGGGATGTGGTTAAGCTCCGCTGTTTTCATTGTGTTTCTTATGTTGCCATGGCAACTAAATGACACTCTTATTTGTTATTCAGAATGTGCCTATCTCTACACCCAGACTTGGTTCTTTGTTCCTCCTATTGCCTTTTATATTGCTGAAATCTTCTCCAACAAATGTTTCTTCTCTCCATTTTATTTTAGATTGCTATCAGGTAGACTGACAAAGGGACACAGAAGTCAGGGAAATAAACACAAATAGTCTCTCTACACCCAAGGTAGTGGCTAGCTCAGAATGGAGGAGGCTGTGGCCATGCCCTCCCAGACCTACTCCAGAGAGCATGGATCCAGAAAGGGGCAGAGATGGATGGGCATAGGTGGATAGGCATCCATCTGTGGCCAGCAGACCCGAGAGCCCCAAGCAAGTGGCTTTTCTCTCAGCTTCTCTTATCTCTGTCCCGTGGAGCAAGAGACTGAGGCACAGATGGGCCCACACATCTGTACCCGTATCTTGGATAGGAATAGACACACTGTGGACAAGGTAACTGAGAACCAGCCAAAGCATTAACCTGCTCCTCCCCAGACGAAGAGCAGCAACAGATGGCTGGTGAGGCAGCCAACTGCTCTTTCAGCTTGCCAGAGGACATGTGCTCGTTTGCAGAAAGAACCTGGGGAGGGTGAGAATGGGGAGTGATTAAAGACCACAGAGCTGAGGGGCTTCCGTATGCAGGTTGTAGCTACGCACTCCTGAAATCACAAGGCATCCCAAGACCCTCATTCCCCAACCTGGATCCCCCACTTAATAACCTTAGTCCGGTATTAGAAGAACCTGTTGGAGGTTCTTTTGTCTCCGTTTGTCTTTGTTACAGTTTCTCCAGGCAGAGCTGTTATCTTCCTGGACTTTGAAACTATCTCATCTGTGTGCCCTACACACAGTAGATGCTCAGTAAATTGTTGCTAGATGAGTAAATTATTTCCTGGCTGTTGTATTACCAGATCTCTAAGTCAGAGTGCAGGGAGAGGTCATGCAGAAGGCAATCCAAACCTAAGGGCTGTGTTTCCTTCATTACCATCACCTGCTCATGTCCTCTGAGTTTACAAATACCTGCACTGAGCATTTGAAGGATTTACGAGAAAGGGACCTCTGAAATAGCTAGGGAAATTTCAGCACCCCTCTCCCTCAAGGATGCTTCAATTGTGGTCCTTTTAATCAGTATATTCTTGTTACTGGACAACAATATCCATCAACTTACTATATTTTCTTATCCTCTCAAATATGTAATTGATTTGAACCAAACTCTTCTTAAATTAAGATCTCAAGAGATGTAGCCATGTGGTGCACAGATGTGTACCAGGTGCACACACACACACACACACACACACACACACACACAAGGCTGTTAAGAGAAAATTGGACATCTTTACACCGGATGAACCAGGAAGATTAGCTAATCGTGGCTCTTGTCCTTCCGGCTCTAGATCGTGTTCGAGGGAGTGATAGGGAAGGGGCGATCGGGAGAGATTTCCATCGATGACATTCGGATAAGCACTGACGTCCCGCTGGAGGACTGCATGGGTACGTCACTTCCTCTCCCTTCGTGCTTTTTTCAAATACTACACTAGGACATGCAAAAGGAAGCAACTGCTGTCTTAACATTTCCCAGTAGGCTGGGCTGTGCCAGTCTGTGCAGGAGGTGAAGTATGGGCTTGGTTGAGTCGAGGGCTGTGAGTGGGAGGGGTAAGACATGAAGTAAAGGTTTACATATCCATCTCCCAATCAGAAATGGATGTGCATTAAGTATGTGAAAATTCGGGGTGCTGAGACCCCATCATCAGAGTCCAGTTTTTAAGCAAAGAAAATGCTAGAGAACAGGAGAGCCTGCCAGTCAGAATTACATGCTGGAAAGGTTTGATGGATTTAATGGAAGCCTTCAGTGGTAGGCAAAAGTGGTACCCATGCTATCTAAGAATGATAACACAATTACCCACGCCGTTCTTTCACATGAATGAACTGCAGGGAAAATTACGGCATAAGAAATCAAATGTTGCATTTTGTTTTCAAGCTAATACTTCTAACGCCCAAGAGTCTAGACTTGTAGGATTAGGCATGGCATACCAGAGGACCAGCATATAAAGGACACCCCTCACTATTTCTTTCTCACTATTTCTTCGTTCAGAAGTGCTAAGAGCCAGCCCTCCTGAAATGCATACACTTCTGCCCAAGGCTTCATCCTGAAGCAGGGGTTTCCCTAAGGGTACCCTGACCACCCCCCATCCTAGCCACAGATCTTTCCCCAAACAGAAAAGGACTCCTGAAAAGGAATAGGAGTTAATCCCAGCCAGCAAAGCTGCTGTAATAAGTACTTGTCTTGGACCTTGGGTATCTGTGCCTAGTGATGTCAGAAGCAACTGGGAATTCCCCAGTCCCCCAGGCAACTCTCAAGGCTTGGGCATCTAAAACTAATCCCAGGACTGAGAAAGTAGTCAGTGTTAAGTGGCTGATTACAGTGCCTTGGGGACCTGTTACTCTACGAAGGACTTTCTGTCCTTGAGCATCCTCTCTACTCAGCCTAGCCCCGTGATGATGGTAGGCACAGTCTAGAAAACATGTAAGAGGTGGGCCACGTTCTGTAGTGCATTGCCAAATGACCTAACAGACTCAATTGTGTCATATTCATTCGCTTTTCTCTTTATCTAACTCAACTTATTTTTTCTGTTTTTTTTTCTCTTTTAGAACCCATCTCAGCTTTTGCAGGTGAGAATTTTAAAGGTAAAAAAAGCTTGTTTTGCATGTTTTTTTTCTCTTTCCATGTGATGTGAATTTGGTAGGGGGAGTAACCCCCAATTTAACAAAGCTTGCAGGAAAAAAGCTTCACTTTCTCACCACTAGGTGGCGAAAGCGACACCCATAGATTCGGGGGATTGAGATCCTCAATGTCTCTCATTTAATTAAAGTTTAGAAGCCTATAATAGAGACAAATAGGTTACAGATAAACCTTTGAGCCTTGCATTGTCCACTTGGGAGCAATGAGGTTGAAAATCAGGAGTGGTGAGAAAGGAGAGGCTGTGGGAAGATTAACCCTCAGTGAGGTGTAGTAACAGGAATTCTAGCGAAGATGTTGGGGAAAAACCCCTAGGAAGGCTGTGATCTTAACGGGGAAAAGGTGCAGAATTCAGAAGCTGGTAGAGGAAGCAAGGAGGTTTATTCTCTGAGTAGAGTCATAGCACTTGAATTTCAAGGCTGGAAGCAGAAAGGGATGCTTTCTCCCTAAGAAAGCAAATAGAGAACAAAGCAAAGAAGAGGGAAATTGGGATGCTTGCCTCATCCGAGAAAAGGAGCAAGGGCTCCCAACCTGGAGCAAAGGTTATGGTTGTGCTTTTCAAATGCAGCAAGTTTGCACTTGCCTTCTACAGTCAGTCTGGCTGCCGATGCCACCTAAGTTCTAATACAGGACACTCGGTGGCTGTTCTAAGTGTTAAGTGCTCCGCTACAGCTGGCTGACTGCAGCGTGTTCACAGACCCTCGCCTGATGCTTAGCCCCGAGAGCCTGTTTGGTGCCAGCCTGTTTGGTGCCAGCAGTGAGAGGGCTGTTACACCCTGTTTGTGCTGCCTAGGCTTGACCCTCTAGGTGACAGCATTTTAGAAATAAGTCCCCCGCTTTATGTATCACACATCTCCTCATTTTATGTCCGCTCTCATTAATCTGTCCAGCTCCTGACTAGAAAGAGATGAGTCCTTGGCTTGAGACCTAAATAGGCTCCCAGAAGCCAAGTCATCCTGCCTAATTTGCCGTTCATCCCTAGCTCTAAGGCTATCAATACGGTAGAACAGAGGGCTGGTGTATGTTTTGATTCTTATCCTCTCTCCTGCTTCCCCACTACATTTGGAAGTATTGTGTACCTGTGTGCATCTTGCTGCTCCCTGGAGTTGTAGCTGCAAATGCAAAGCCCTACATGGAAAGCTAGGGTGCAAACTGAACAGCTTGGACTGCAGCTGGGTCCTAACCTTCGGGATGCAGCATACTGTTTCTGCTGGGGAAGAGAAGCCTGCTCCTGACTCTCTGTGGGTTGTTGAGCCTCAAAGCCCCCTGAAAGGCCAGTTCAAGACTGACCAGTAATTGCCATAAAAGCTGTGCACAACCCATGTCTGGTCGTGACTGACAAGAACAGCGGCTGAGGGCTGCACTTCTCTAAGAGAATAAACAAACCAAGCACATGTGCTCTCCTTGAAGTCATGTGTAACATAAGGCTGCACACCCAGGCCTGTTCGCCTTTAAATATATATATAAAGTCTCATCTAAGTGGCAAGTGTGCACTTAGGCTAAATAAACACTGGGCTCAGTGGCTTGAAGGTAAGACTTCCCAGTATGTTCTTGATGCTTTGGAGCTGTGCAGACAGGGCCCCAGTGGCAAGCACTGACTCACACACGGATGCAGACATGGCAAGGAGGCAACCAAGTCTTAGGGGACAGAGTCTTGGCTCAAGAACATGGAGAGCCAAGAGCACAGTGGGAATCAGAAGTTTCGACCACATTGACATGATCTGTGATGCTCCTGGGTACTAGCCAAGTGAACCTGGGACTAGGCATGAGGATCTTCTCTCATGCCTCTGTCTTTACTCAAATGGTCTCCACTTGGAAGACATGGCTTTTGCTCTCTTCCTGGGTAGGACAGTAGGAGCTCAAGACATAAAATCAGTACTTTTACTCAAAACAGAGAATCAGAGTAAAATCCGACTTGGGCAGGCAAGTTACCGAGAGCTGATGTGGGAACACCGCTTCCAACTGCCATTTGTGTTGCTTCTGTACCTTTAGAATTTTTCATTTTATTATAAACTAGTCATGCAACAGAAGTAATCCTATTCATTACAGGAGACCAGTGTGTTTTAGGTGGACCTTTAGGGAAATGCATGAGTGGCCTCTGGACCTGTGCTGATGGGTGCTCTTGATCTTTCTTAGTTTGAAGTATCTTTCATTTTCTGCCTTTAACTGGCTTCTTGCATTGCACTTTCCACTTCATTACGTGTGTGTAGACTGTACCTGGATGTGACTTAGTGTGGAAGAGAAACTGTACAGAGAAAGAGGAAGCAGAGAAAGTGAAAACACTGCCGTCATGCTATTCTTTAAAAAGATCTTTTTTGTTGTTGATATGAGTCATGCTTTAAACAATGTAACTTGGGTGTGCTTGCTTGCTTGCTTGCTTGCTTTCATGAGCAGTAGCTTTAAATATGGTGTCGTCACGTATCTTTGTTCTTAAGGTTTGAGCTTTAACAAATGAAAAACCATGTATAAAGGAAAAGGGGGAAAAAGACAAAACCAGTATAATTAAGGTGATGAATTGTTTCCTCTTACTCAGTGCTTTTTTTTTTCCTTAATAAAAGAAAAGACAACAAGCAAGAAGCCAGTAAAACTACATAATGCCCATAATCAGAATCCTGTGGCTCTTGACCAGGTGGCTGTTCTTAGTCGCTTGTGGTGGAGACAAGAGTTGTTACTGCTCCTGTAGGAGGCTGTGTTTTGAATGCAGTAGGAGCAGACCACTTGCCAGAAATCATGGAGACCCAACAGGGTTGCACTGTGAGGGTGTTCGTGGGATGCGGTCCCCTGAACTGCCTTCTTATTAAGGGCCCTAAAAGGAGCATGCGTGTGTTCTGAAAGTCCCCTGGCTGTGACTATGTCTCCAACCCTTTCTAAGGCTGCTCTGCTCCATCTTTTGAATTCCACTGTGTGCCTTCCTGCTGTCCCCTACTCCCAATTTTCATCCAAGTACAACCAGGAGAAAATGAGCATCCAAGGCTGTCCTGGGATACGGCTGAGAATTGTTATAAGGGAGTTGCCCGTAGCATAAAGCTGAGGTCAGGCTGGCACCGGACTCCATGCCTCAGATTTTAAGTTAATTTATTTGGGTCCTACAGGCCAATCTGCCATTTTCTACACACATCTCTTTTCCACCACCACTGTTACTCTCACGACCTGCCTTCCACTCTGAAACTTTGCATGCCAGTAAGACACCCCATCATTCCTGGGTACAGGACTGGATGGCCCATCAGAGTATCTCTCTCATCAGCTTCCCTTTACTCTACAGCAATGTCTTGCTGAGGAAGCAGAGAGAGAGTTCATGCATATAAGTCTCAGAATAAGTTAGAGAAGAACACTAAACCCCAAAGCCTCCAGGGCTCCAGATAGGCAGCAGTGGTGTGAGATCCTCCCCACTGCCCCACCCCCATCTCCAGCCTCTTAGTCGAGGCTAGGTGTTGCAGAGCAGACAGGAAGAGATGTGTGGAACCACTGTGTGCTGCTTGACCACCATCTCTGCCCACAGGACACCGAGGCACTGTTTGTGAAGTTTGCTTGCACACTCAGCCTCTTCCAACCCAGAAGTCGGGCACATCCCACTCCCCACTAGGCCATCTCAGCAGCTGCCAGAACAGTCTGTCAAAGGGCAGCAGAAAGTGTTTCTCCCCAACATCTCTCTCTCCAACAACGCAGCCTGGCAAGCCTCAGTTTTAAGATGCAGCCTAAGTTCCAGAAAAGAAGTGCCAGGACTGCTTCAGCCAGTAAGGGGTTGAATGCTAAGACATTTTGGATAGACATGGGGGAGGGGACAGAGTGGGGAGTCCCCAAGGTTTCTGCAAACTCACAGCAAACCTCTAACGAGTTTACCTCTGCATATTTGCTTGTCCAGCAAGACGTAAGACCTTTTCTCGGGGATACTTTGAACTTTAGCATCCCCTTAAGGAGCACTGGAGGTCTGGCCACATTCTTCCACCAGCTTCCATAAACGTTTCTAGTGGATCCAAGCTTTTTCTTGTATTTGTGTATTCCCACAGATGAAACAAACAGTTCACCTGAACTGTGCCTTCTGCTGTGTTCGTTCTCAGCCGGTGTGGAAAGCCCCACACCAGCAGCATAAAACAGCTTTTAGGTACAGAGAGAGACCCACCCTTGGTGCCTTTCAGAACATTCCTTTGGGGATGTTGGGTAGCTCCCCCAGGTCCCAGTGACATTTCATGAACGTAGCTGTGAGAGACGCTTGCTTTTTTTCATGGTGAATCTGCGTCACGCCAACTCTCTGACAGGTTCAGACAGAGTAGAAGGCAGAAAGGGAGAGAAGGCTGCTTCCTGTCCCTGCCTTACTTGGTTAGAGCAAAACCTGCAAAGCTGTACTATGAAATACCAGATAGCAAGTATTCAAGGCTTTGGAGGATATACAGCCTTTCTGGCAAGCCCTCTGTCCCGCCAAGGAAGCACAAAGGCAACCCCAAGTAGTGCATAAACAAATGGCAGTGTTCAAATAAAACTTTATTCATAAAAATGGACACCGGGCTGCAGTTAGCTGAGGATTTTGTATGCCTGTTTTCAGGCCTGGCTCAGTCACTCAGCAGCAGTAAGCAATAAGCCTTGGACTTCCCTCTCTACTACTTTGTCCTCTTCCTTGGTTTTCAAACTACTCATCCTCTTAGCTCCTCACATTCCCCACTTAGGACTCATGGAAAATAAAGACTATTCATGTGAAGCCCGTGAACCAAGGGCTGACACGCTGGAAACGTCTGCTATTGTCGCTGTTCTGACAGCCATGTTTCCTAACTATTCAGTAAGCCAGTGACACTGTATATCGATATAAACAGGCAAGGAAGACTTACTACATAATAGGTAATTTCTTTTCATTTTTCCCACGTGTGACTTCTCAGAATTTCTTTCTCAAATCCCAAATTCTTAGCCTTCACATTTCTCTTCTCCAGGGAGTTCAGGACTT